CAACACTACACAAATACATCCAACACTACACAATATACATCACAACACTACACAATATACATCACAACACTGCACAATATACTTCACAACACTACACAATATAACATCACAACACTACACAATATACATCACAACACTGCACAATATACATCACAACACTACACAATATACATCACAACACTGCACAATATACATCACAACACTACACAATATACATCACAACACTGCACAATATACATCACAACACTGCACAATATACATCACAACACTACACAATATACATCACAACACTGCACAATATACATCACAACACTGCACAATATACATCACAATGCTTGCATCATGTCGCTGTACAATATACATCACAACACTACACATATACATCACAACACTACACAATGTACATCACAACACTACACAATATACATCACAACACTACACAATATACATCACAACACTACACAATATACATCACAACACTACACAATATACATCACAACACAACAATATACATCACAACTCTACACAATATACATCACAACACTACACAATATTACATCACAACACTACACAATATACATCACAACACTGCACAATATACATCACAATGCTTTGCATCATGTCGCTGTACAATATACATCACAACACTACACAATATACATCACAACACTACACAATATACATCACAACTCTACACAATATACATCACAACACTGCACAATATACATCACAACACTACACAATATACATCACAACACTACACAATATACATCACAACTCTACACAATATACATCACAACACTGCACAATATACATCACAACACTGCACAATATACATCACAACACTACACAATATACATCACAACACTACACAATATACATCACAATGCTACACAATATACATCACAACACTGCACAATATACATCACAATGCTACACAATATACAATGCAACACTACACAATATACATCACAACACTCCACAATATACATCACAACACTGCACAATATACATCACAATGCTTTGCATCATGTCGCTGTACAATATACATCACAACACTACACAATATACATCATAATGCTACACAATATACATCATAATACTTCACAATATACATCACAGTGCTTTGCATCATACATCACGACACAGTACAATATACATCATATTACAACCCAGGAATTTAAAGGCCTGTTATCCGGGGTGTAAAGGGAGCAAAAACAAACACAGCAGAAAACGTTTGACTTATATTATCCTTTCACCAAGTAAGAACAGAAGTACATACACTATGTACAACAATGGGTATTAGTGCACGCCACGGTAAGCAAGGGAGAATTGATGCCACTAGAGAGCAGACCGTGCTTCAACCAGATCTAGAATAGAAATGACAAGGGCAGACAGGTGGGTGGTGCCCACAACACCTCTGCGATTGCCAAAACCCTCTTCTCATTGGCTGAACCTGGGTACTGATCGAATGACGGGGCCCCATCGTCTGACCCTTAGTACTGGTTCGCTGGTTGGGGGAGATAGCCTTTCAATGAGGGTGTGTACATGCGCCGAATAAAGGTTACATACTCTTTGCATACCACACATCACAATGCTCTGCATCATACATCACAACACTACACAGTATACATCACAATATACATCACAACACTATACAATACACATCACAACACTGTGTAGTTTACATCACAATACTATACAATATACACCACAATGCTATACAGTACACATCACAACACTACACAGTATACATCACAAAACGAAACTACAAGTATCACCACTACGAGTATCACCTCTACAAATACCACATCTACAAGTATCACAACTACAAATATCACCACTACAAATATCACAACTACATGTATTGTCACTACAAGTATCACCACTACAAGTATCACACTACAAGTATCACTACAAGTATCACGACTACAATTATCACCACTAAACGTACACCACTACAAGTATCCCCACTACCAGTACCACAACACAAAACCCCCAACAACAAGTTCACCACTACAAGTACCATAACTACAAGTACCAAAACTAGTATCACCACTACAAGTATCACCACTACAATTATCACCACTACAAGAAATCACCTACAAGTATCACAATACAAGTATCACCACTACAATACCACCACTACAAGTATAACACTACAAGGGACCACCACTACAAGGACCACCACTACAAGTATCACCACTACAAGTATCACCACTACAAATATCAACACTGCAAGTACACTACTGCAAGTATCACCACTACAAGTATCACTGCTACAAGTATCACAACAAGTATCACTACAAGTATCATCACTGCAAGTATCATCACTGCAAGTATCACCATTACAAGTATCACCTTTACAAGTATCACCTCTACATGTATCACAGGTACAATTATCACTACTACAAGTATCATCACTACAAGTATCACTACAAGTATCACTGCTACAGGTATCACAGCTACAAGTATAATCAATACAAGTACCACAACTACAAGTATCCCCTTTACAAGTATCACCTCTACAAGTATCACCACTACAAATGCCACCATTACAAGTATCACTACTACAAGTATCACCACTACAAGTATCAGCACTACAAGTATCACCACAAGTATCACAACTACAAAAATCACCACAGCAAGTACCACAACTGCAAGTATCACCACTACAAGTATCACCACAAGTACCACAAGTACAAGTATCACCACTACAAGTATCACCACTACAAAAATCACCACTACAAGTATCACTTCAAGTATCACCACTACTACTGTCTCCACTACAAGTATCCCAACTACAAGTACCATCACTACAAGTATCACCACTACAAGTACCATAACTACAAGTACATAACTACAAGTACCATAACTACAATATGCAACTACAAGTATCCCCCAACTACAAGAAACCATAAATACAAGTACCATAACTACAAGATCACCAACTACAAGTATCACCATTTACAAGTACCATAACAAAAACAAGTACCACAACTACAAGTATCACCACTACAAGTATCCCCAAAACTACAAGCACCATAACTACAAGTATCACAACTACAAGATCAAACTACAAGTACCCACAAACTACAAGTATCACAACTACAAGTATCACAACTAAAATATCACCACTACAAGTACCGCAAAACAATTTATCACCACTACAAGAATCCCACTACAAGTACCAAAACTACAAGTACCACAGCTACAAGTATCACCACTAAAGTACCATAACTCAAGTACCAAACTACAAGTAAACACTACAAGACCATAACTACAAGTACCAAACTACAAGTATCACCACTCCAAGTATCACCACTACAAGACCATAACTACAAGTACTAACACTACAAGTATCACCACTACAAGTATCACCACTACAAGCACCATAACTACAATACACAACTACAAGTATCACAACTACAAGTATCACCACTACAAGCACCATAACTACAAGTATCACCACTACAAGTATCACCACTACAAGTATCACCACTACAAGTATCACCACTACAAGTACCATAACTACAAGTACCGCAACTACAAGTATCACCACTACAAGTACCATAACTACAAGTACCACAACTACAAGTATCACCACTACAAGTATCACCACTACAAGTATCACCACTACAAGTACCATAACTACAAGTACCACAACTACAAGTATCACCACTACAAGTATCACCACTACAAGTATCACCACCACAAGTATCACCACTACAAGCATCACCACTACAAGTACCATAACTACAAGTATCACCACTACAAGTACCATAACTACAAGTACCGCAACTACAAGTATCACCACTACAAGTATAACCACTACAAGTATCACCACTACAAGTATCACCCCACAAGTACCCACTACAAGTACATAACTACAATACCGCAACTACAAGTATCACCATTACAAGTATCACTACAAGTATCATCACTGCAAGTATCACCACTACAATATCAACACTACAAGATCACCACTACAAGTACCATAAACAAGTCCCGCAACTACAAGTATCACCCCTACAAGTACCATAACTACAAGTACCACAACTACAAGTATCACCACTACAAGTATCACCACTACAAGTATCACCACTACAAGTATCACCACTTCAAGTACCATAACTACAAGTACCGCAACTACAAGTATCACCACTACAAGTACCATAACTACAAGTACCACAACTACAAGTATCACCACTACAAGTATCACCACTACAAGTATCACCACTACAAGTATCACCACTACAAGTATCACCACTACAAGTACCACAACTACAAGTATCACCACTACAAGTATCACCACTACAAGTATCACCACTACAAGTACCATAACTACAAGTACCACAACTACAAGTATCACGACTACAAGTATTGTGGTTGCAGAGTTGAATCAAAGCTCCTGGTCCCGTCTCTTGGCTGGACGCTACTAGGTCCACTCTCTACCTGTGTGTCCCCTCAAGGAAGGTTCCTTGATGTTGGTGAGGGGCTCTTGATTTAGGGAATTGGATCTGTGCTCCAGTTCCCCGAATTAAGCCTGAATGCCTTCCACATCCCCCCCCCAGGCGCTGTATAATCCTCCGGGTTTAGCGCTTCCCTCTTGATTATAATAATAATCTACAAGTATGTAGTGCATATGTGTAGTTTGCACACATATGTGTAGTTTGCACACATATGTGTAGTTTGCACACATATGTGTAGTTTGCACACAAAATGGTAGTTTGCACACATTTGTGTTTTGCACACATGTGTATTTTGCACACATATGTGTAGTTTGCACACATATGTGTAGTTTGCACACATATGTGTAGTTTGCACACATGTGTAGTTTGCACACATATGTGTAGTTTGCACACATATGTGTAGTTTGCACACATATGTGTAGTTTGCACACATATGTGTAGTTTGCACACATATACACAGCAGACTATGAGCAGCTCTCAGCTATTTTGTACAAGTTTTGATCACGTTACAAAATACCCAGAACTCACCACGTGGAGGTGGCTGCTCCTCGAGCTCCTTGTTTTTATACATTTTAATTTTTATTTTTAATTAAAAGCTTTTTCAATAAAACCTTTTAGTTTCTTATAAACAAAAATATTTTTTTTATTTAACACAAGATTCCTCTTTTTAATGAAAGCAAAATATATTTCGTATACATTGCATATTGCAATGTTAACATTTTGTGTTGTTAATTATAGAATATCACCCAGGTAATGTATCACCCCATGGTGGAGCGTTTGTGTCTGTTAGTTTGTCAGCCAGTGGCGTATTGTAGGTCCCTGGCAAGGTGTCGGCCTCTGATGGGGCGTGTGTGTCTGTTAGTGTGTCAGCCAGTGGCGTATTGTAGGTCCCTGGCAAGGTGTCGGCCTCTGATGGGGCGTGTGTGTCTGTTAGTGTGTCAGCCAGTGGCGTATTGTAGGTCCCTGGCAAGGTGTCGGCCTCTGATGGGGCGTGTGTGTCTGATAGTGTATTGGCCAGTGGCGTATTGTAGGTCCCTGGCAAGGTGTCGGCCTCTGATGGGGCGTCAGCCTCTGATGGTCCATCAGCCTCTGATGGTCCATCAGCCTCTGATGGGGCGTTAGCTTCTGATGGTGCTGATGGCCCATCAACTTCTGATGGTCCGTCGACCTCTGATGGGCCATCAGCTTCTGATGGGGCGTCAGCTTCTGATGGTGCATCAGCGTCTGATGGTGCATCGACCTCTGATGGGCCTTCAGCTTCTGATGGTGCATCAGCGTCTGATGGGGCGTCAGCTTCTGATGGTGCATCAGCGTCTGATGGGGCGTCAGCTTCTGATGGTGCATCAGCTTCTGATGGTGCGTCGACCTCTGATGGGCCTTCAGCTTCTGATGGGGCATCAGCTTCTGATGGTGCATCAGCGTCTGATGGGGCGTCAGCCTCTGATGGGCCATCAGCTTCTGATGGTGCGTCGACCTCTGATGGGCCTTCAGCTTCTGATGGGGCATCAGCTTCTGATGGTGCATCAGCGTCTGATGGGGCGTCAGCTTCTGATGGTGCATCAGCCTGTGGGGTGGCGCTGGTCAGCAGTTTTTTTATCATTTCCTCGAGCATCTGAATCACTTCAAGGATGGATGGCCGTCTAGACCTCTCTGGGTCCATCATAAAATCTATCAATTTAATTAGCTTCAGTGGACCAGAAATTTTCTTATTTCTGAAGTAAGAATCCAAGAGTTGAAACATCATGTATCCTAGGGAATAAACATCACCTTTAGGGGTACATGGACCACAAAGAAATACCTCAGGTGCGATGTGAGGATAATCTTCGTGTTCTTCAGGGGAATAATCCCAGCTCATGTGCTCGCCCACTTTTTTACTGTGTCCGAAGTCAATTAAATTAACTTCGAGGTTGTCCTGTGTTTCATTAATGAGGACATTGTCTGCCTTAACATCATTATGAGTAAATCCACGTAGGTGGATCTCGTGCAGGTTAATTGCTACCTGAACGAATAAAAGCAACAATGTTTCTAGGTCTAAGTCGTAGTTCTTCTTGTAAAACTTATACAAGGTAGTACCGCCTCTGAAGGATATAACAAGAGCGGGGAAGTTACTACAAATACAGTACAAGAATGGAGCTCCACCAGCTCCTTTCAGCTCGGCTAATGTAATAGCTTCATCGTTAAATGCCTTTTGATCCTCCAAACATTTTCCAAGTTTGAGACAAGTGTATTTACCGTTGAAAATCACTTTATATGCTGTAGCAGATACACCTCTTCCTAGCCTTTTCCTGTTGTCCAGATCACACAAATCAAACAGATCATCATAGGTAACGAAATAGTCTTGGAAATATTCCCCGGAAGAAGAGTAGCAGGACATTTTTATATATTACTTCCTTCGCTGAGATGTACAACAAAAAGAAGGAGCAATACTCTATAAGGTTTACTTGTGCTCCACCGACCTGAGGTCCTCAATATATCACAGTCACTAAATATAGTTATCCTGGAACTCTGGCAGAGAACGAAACTGAGTTTTGCTTCTGCTCTACCGACCTGATTTAGCGCTTTCTTTGATAATAATAATATTGTACCGTACTGAAGTTCTCAATATATCACAGTCACTGTAAATATAGTTACCCTGGAACTCTGGCGGAGAGAAGTGACGAACGAAGCTGTGAGTTTTGCTTCTGCTCTACCGACCTGATTTAGCGCTTTCTTTGTTAATAATAATAATATTGTACCGTACTGAAGTTCTCAGTCTATCACAGTCACCCTAAATATAGTCAGCTTTTACGATTATTATTATTATTAAATAATATTACTATATGATACATCTGCTGTAGTGGTGCTACAGAGAAGGTTGTAGTAGTTGTGGATGTAGTCCTGAAAGTGGTGATAGTAATAATAGTGGTAGTGATGGCTGTGTTGATCAAGACAGTGATAATGATTGTGTAGTTGTAGTAGAGGTGGTGAGGGGAGTAGCTGAGATAATGTTAATGATAATTTTAGTTTTGAAGGCTGTTCTAATTGTTGTGGTGATATAGTGATTGTAGCAAAATTGGTAATGAGAATGGTGAGTAATTTTGGTAGAAGGGTGGTAGCTCTCACGATAGTTATGCCAGTGATAGTGATGATGGTAAGCGTCAAGGTAATGATAATTTTGGTGATAATGATAGTGTTTGCTTGTAATGGTAGTGATGGTAGGTGTGATGGTGGTAGTCATGATAACTGTAATTGTGGTAGTGATAGCATACTAGAGTGTTAGTAGTTGTATAGATTACAAAGTGTGGGTTATATAAGATAATTATAAAATAATTACTTATTACAAAGGCCACTAGTATGCCTAGGTATGCCTAGGCATTTCGGGCAGACTGATACTATTTCTTATTCTATATTGACACAGGTTATGAATCATACTGGTATTAAAATGAGGTAGCTAAATTTACAAAAGTGAGGTATTTCAACAAACACAGATGTGTCATTCTTGCACTTGTTAATTAAGGTAAGTTAAGAGAACTTAAACCTACTACTTTGTTTACATCTGCCGCCTCAGTTGTCACACACCTCCGCCATAAGATTTCGTTCGGATTTTTAACCCCGGAGGGTTAGCCACCCAGGATAACCCAAGAAAGTCAGTGCGTCATCGAGGACTGTCTAACTTATTTCCATTGGGGTCCTTAATCTTGTCCCCCAGGATGCGACCCACACCAGTCGACTAACACCCAGGTACCTATTTGCTGCTAGGTGAACAGGACAACAGGTGTAAGGAAACGTGTGAAATGTTTCCACCCGCCGGGAATCGAACCCGGGCCCTCCATGTGTGAAGCGGGAGCTTTAGCCACCAGGCCACCGGGCCATCTTAACTATTATCTTCATTAAACTTTATTATATATATCTATAAACAATTACTACTTATAATAATAGTAATAAAATAATAATAATAATAATAATAATAATAATAATAATAATAATAATAATAATAATTAATAATAATAATCGAACCACAATACCGAGTATCCCTTCGATCCCCGTCGGGGAGCGGAACCTTTAGTCTACATCACTTCACGATACATTTGTCGAGCAGGGTAAAGATTAAACCAGAGAGTGGGACAGTCAATGACTCGTTCAAGCTAGCACTTGCAGCTGTCATCAGTGGCAGATTGCAGGTCAACACTTCTGCGTCAGCCTTCGTCGGGTGTGGACGTTTCTCTCTCGCCTGTGTATCAGTGACAAATTTCCACCGTTCTCTCTGGGACGCTTGTCCTCATCTACATTGCCCGCCGGGCAGTCTACAGGAGTGGCACCTGTACATCGGCTTACTGTAGCCAGCTACATTTTTTTCCGCTCTGCGGAAAATTCTTTAACGGTCTTTGGTTACTGAACTCAGGTGGGAGTGTGGGCGTCCCTCTCTGCTGGGGCTTCGCAAGGGCGTCCACCGGATCTAATTGGAAACTTCAAGTTTCTATCTCAAAGGAACTTTTGTTCATTTTCTTTCATCGTCCAGCCTTGGGCAACAAATTTTCCTGGTACCATCGAGAAACCGGACTCGATACGGCTTATGCTGTCAGTGGCCCTGATAAACCCAACAAAGAATGAAAGAAAGAAGATTACAAGTCAAGTGAAATGCGATTCTATCGCTCAAAGAGGCCTTCGTTGTCGTCTGTGCTGACGACACCGAGGCCGAGAAACTACCACCACTGCTACAACCACTCTACGAAACCAGGGATTTATTGTCTTGTCTTCCCCAGCTCTGAGGGCAGGAGAACTGTGTTCCTCAAGAGACTCGACAGGCTCATCACTGCTCAGGCTACCGAAGAAATCAAGTCGTCCATTGAAGTACAGAACCCTCGGGCCAGGTGGAATTCATTACCAAAGTACCCAATGCCTCCTCCATGCTGAAGGTCACCTTCAGTGACGTCAACATGGCAGCCAGAGCTCTCGCTGAGGGCCTGGCTATTCACTACTTCCACATCAATCCAGCCTTCATCGAAGCAGAAAAATTCCAGCAAATCTCAGTGTTATAACTGTTACTCATACCTACATACCACCAAAGACTGCCCTGCCAAGAATAAGTTCTGCTCCACTTGTGGCCAAGAAGGTCATGACTTCAAGACGTGCACTACCGCCTCTCCACCTAAATGCTTGAACTGCAAGAATGATCACCATACTCTTGCCGACAAGTGCCCAACCAAACGAGATATACTCAAGAAACAGCTCCAACAACAAAAGAAGCCCACAGCACAAGCAACTACACATGGTACTATTACCAAGCTTCAAGCAGATACTACCAAGATTCTCCAGGCTATGCAAGCTGCTTCTACCGTTTCCCCGCCAGCTCCTGCTGGTGACTCCACCAAGATTCTTTACTGCATCATGTACATTTTGTAGCTGACCCTGGTTCCTTCAACACCACCATCAACGAACTCTTCAAGCTCAACAATATGCCTGCTTATACATTCCCTTCATCACCACCTTCATTACCTTTGTAAATTGTGAGTTCATTACCTTTGTAAATTGTGAGTTCATTACCTCTGTAACTTGCTCAGCTATCAAAACTTTGGAGTCCAGTCCCTGGAC